TTTTATTAGAGACGGGGTCTCACTGTGCTCAGGCTGGAGTCGAACCGCTGAGCTGCAGCGATCCGCCTGGCTCGGCCTCCCAGCAAGCTAGGATTACAGGCGTGAGCCACCGCGCCCGGCCAAGCTTTAATGATCGTATACAGCCGTGTGACCACAACTGACGTGGAGACACAGAACATTCCCTTCACTCTGAAAGTTCCCCCGTGTCTCTTTGCAGTCACCCCAGCCCTGACAACACCTCGTCTATTTTCTGTGCCTAGAGTTTTGCTTTTCTGTAAAATGCCACTTTGCCAATTCAATTTATTTCACAAATTCCAAACTGCCTCTCTGCCGCAGGAAGAGCCAGCTTCGTGCGGACGCCCACCCGCCAATGAGGGCTGCGCTCTGCACGGGGGCCTCGAGAACTCCGCGAGGTCTTTGCTCTGAATAACTGAGAACCGGAACTGGTCTGCAGAGGCACGTCCACGTTCCATCATTCCAGCTCCTGTAACTGTGTCATTGGCAAGGCCACCGTTCAGAGGAGCACAACTATAAAGACTGTGATTTTATGGAAAACGGCCTCTTCCCGGGCAAAATCCTTTTAGTTTATTTCCTCCTTAAATCCTATTTTTAAAGCAACGCACAGCTTCCTTTAAGTTCTACACATAAGTCACTGCCAAGTAGTCAGTCAATAATATTGACTCGGTTCCAAAAAGTAACCTGTATTTTATATTCAAAAAACCTAGCGATGTCTGGGGAATGACTTATCTGGTTACACAAATACTCCTCTGAATAACAAACTACGTAAGAGCACACGCAGGTTAGGACTTTCCAAGGCTGAACCATAGTGGATTCAGCACTAATGCAAATACAGCAAACTTTTTGGTGTTAATGTGTGACATTGTGAAAAGTGGGAAACCAAAATATGCCACCTCAAAACATATTTCCTTGGCATAGTTCAAGGTGGCCGTTCGGAGGGGCTGCAGACACAGGAGAGGTCTGAGAAGCGTCCTGTGCAGGGCAGGGCTGCAGCCGCATGGAAACCGACAGCGGCGAAGTAAACAGCGGATGCAAACAGGCTCTCTCCCAGACCCTCCTACCTGCCTACCCCCATCTAGGAGAGGTGAGCCCACAGGAAAAGACTAAAATCTGACACTTTAAAGCTACGACAGAGAACCGTTACCACAGGCTGCTTTCTGTTCTTTCTGGGGGGGCCGCCGCCACACTTCGTCTGCTAACAAGACACTTAGCTCAGCGCGGTTCCGCCCTCCCACAGCCGGCTCCGTCTCCCCGCAGGAGCCCAGCCCTCATCCCTTCCGTCATCTGGCCCTTCTTTGAGTCTCACCTGGCTCCCAGGTAAATCAACTGGTATGTCTTTCTCCTATTAACCTGTCTATTGTCAGTTTATTTTATAGACTCAAATATCTAACATTCAGAGGGAAAGTTTGAATTTCCCTTCAGATATAAAAAAAATACACATATGTGTTATTCGTAACAAGCCCCTATCAACCACACCTGAGTTTCTGTCAGTGAGGTGACTTTTGGAAAGTCCCTAGGGTGGGACTTCAACTGACGGGGTTCAGGGAGCTTCCGACGGGCACCCCGCACGGGGAGGGCGGTGCACCCCAGCCCCACACTCGACAGAGAGGGCGGTGCACCCCAGCCCCACACTCGACAGAGGCTCCTGTGCGTGGGCCTCTGCCTCTGGCTGTGCATGTGTCTCCTTCACAGCAGCCCGTGCGATGCACCAGTGACAGCGAGTAGCCTGTTTCCCTGAGCTCTGTGAGCTGTCGCAGCCAATCGCTGAGCCTGGGGAAGGGCTGGGGAACCTCTGACGTGGAGCTGAGTCACATGGAGTGTGAGTAACCTGGGGACCCCCTACTTGTGACTGGCGTCTGGAGTTGGGGGCAGTCTCATAGGGCTGAGCCTTACCGTGTGGGGGTCAGTGCCAACTCCAGGCAGTTAGTGTCAGAATTGAATTAAATTGTAGGACAGGCCAGGCGTGGTGGCTCACGCCTGCAATCCTAGCACTTTGGGAGGCTGTGGTAGGAGGATCACTTGAGCCTAGGAATTTGAGACCAGCCTGGGCAACATAGTGAGACCCCATCTCTACAAAAAATAGAAAAATCAGCTGGGTGTAGTGGCGTGCACCTGTAGTCCCAGCTACTTGGGAGGCTGAGACAGAAAGATTGTTTGAACCCAGGAGTTTGAGAATACAGTTAGCCATGATCATGCCACTGTACTTCAGCCTGGGTGACACCTCTGAAAAAAAAACTGTAGGACACACAACTGGTGGTGAGGAATTGATCAGTGTGGGGGAAACCCCCGCTCTGAAGACCAGAGGCACTATGAGTTTAGAAGAAACAGGAGTTTTTTCTTTCATATTTCATTTGCTTTTAATTTAAAAATCGAAAAGATAAACACATCCTCAATATATGATATGGTTTACTCTTAGTCCAGTGGTGTTATAATTAATACTTTTTTTCCCTTAGAGATAGGATCTTGCTATGTTGCCCAGGCTGTCCTCAAACTGCTGGGCTCAAGTGATCTTCCCACCTCGTCCTCTTGAGTAGCTGGGACTGCAATATTTTTAAATAGCGTAGGTAGACCAGTGGCACTTAACTTTTTTTTGACTCATGAGCATTTTTGAGAACCTCCCTAAAAAATTTTCATGCATAGAAAGCTATATTAAATTGTAGCCATTCACACCCACTGATGCCCACATGGACACACTCAGACCCAAGAACCCCAGACGAGGAACTGGTACATCAGAACTGAAGGGAGAGCATCCTCATTTGTATAGAGACCCATCTCATACTGTGTACTGAATGTCAACACAGAAAAACAACAACAAAGGAAGCACATGGAGCATTATATATGGGAATTTAAGCTCATAACTCTCGAACAATGGGCCGATAGTTTAAGTTTTGAATCTTACGGTTCCAGTCGTCTTCTGAAGCTCAGTAGTTGACACCATTGTACAAAATTCTTTCTCTTGAATTAGTGCACATAGGGTTGCCTGAAATGGGGAAAAACATTAATTCCTCATTAGCTTTTCCACTCCACAGTGCCTTGGTTAGTTTAACAACAATTCTTTCAGTGATTTCCTCTCCCATTTCCGTGGGCATTAGAAGCCTTCCCAGAGCCTCGGCTAACCACCAGCTATGTTCCTAGGAGAAAATCTACCAGCAAGAAGCAGAAGGAAGAAAAAAGGGACAAAAAGTCAAGAGCAAAATATATCGGTCTTCCAATAGCATAACACACCGTGCGCCCGCCTACCTGTGTGCAGTGAGGAATAAACCCATAGACGAGGAGTCGATCGTTGTGGAACAAGGACGGCACCTGGGCTGGGGCCTGCAGGGGCTCCGGCGCGTCTGTGCTGAGTTGCTGCCATTTGACGGACACAGAGTGACAGCTGGGAGAACGTAACCTGGCCATCTGGTCTTCTATCTATTCACAAAAAAGGAATTGTTCCTCTTTCTATGTTATATCCAGAGAAATTACTTAACACAAAATAAAGTTTGCATTCTATCCTTTGGGGATTTTGTAGCTCTTTGGTTTCTTTTCTCCTTCTTGCTACAGGGTACTTTTCCAAAAAGATTTTAAATAGAATTTTTAATGGTAGCACTATCACATCATTTAGATTTACAAAGCATCCTAAAATCATTCCATTAGCTAATTACTAACAGACAACTTTGGTATGGGTAGATTCCAGTTATAAAAATTAACCCTACAAAGGACTTGAATAGACATTTCTCCAAAGAAGATACACAACTGGCCAACGAGCGCATGAAAAGATGCTCAACATTACTTGTCATTAGGGAGATGCAAATCAAAACCACAATGACACACAACTTCACAGCCATTAGGATGACTATTATTCAAAAACACCCACACACAACAATGGATGTTGGTGAGGATGTGCAGAGGCTGGAACCCCCGTGCCGGCGGGAGGTAAGACGACCCACTGCCATGAAAGACGGTGTGGTGGTTCGCAAAAACCAAACCCGGGTGGTACGTGATCCTACTTCCAGGCGTGTACTCGAAATAATTGAAAGTGGGGTCTCAACCAGGCATCTGTACACCCGCGTTCACGGCAGCGCTGCCACAGCAGCCAAAAGGCAGAAACAACCCGGGTGCCCATCAGCGATCAACGGACGGATGAAGAAAACAGAAGGCGGAACGTAGACAGGACAGACGACGGCCCATCCAGCCTTAAAAAGGAAGGACGGTCTGACTCGTGCTACAACGCAGATGAACTCTGAAGACATTTGCCGAGTGAAATGGGGCAGTGGCAGAAAGACGAAGACTGCGTGCTTCTGTTCATCCGAGGTACTGAGCACAGTCAGAGTCAGGCGGAAGTAGAACAGAGGCTAGCGGGGCTGGGGCAGAATGGAGAGCTGCTGTTTAACGGGGACAGAGCTTCTATCTGGGATGACGAAAACATTTGGAAATAGAGAGAGGTGATGGCTGTACAACACTGTGAATGTACTTAACGCCACTGCACTGAAATATATACTTAAAATGGTTAAAATGGTAAATTTTATGTATCTTTTATCCCAATAAAAAATTAATCCCGGCAACACCTATATAGCACTTCATTTAAAAAATTCATGACACTTCATAAGGCAGAAATCAAACGGTTAACCAGGAGAACGACCCAATCAAGTATTGACTGTGTTGCCGCTGGAGCCACATGGGTGGTGCCTGGGGCCACACCTTTGGTGGCTTTTGCCTCTTTGTA